TTATTTCTCTCTTCTTTCTTTTTCCTCTTCTTTCTTATTTCTCTTTCTTTCTTTCTTTCTTTCTTTATTTCTCTCTTTCTTTCATTCTTTCATTCTTTCTTTCATTCATTCTTTCTTTCTTTCTTTCTTTCTTTCTTTTTCTTTGTTCCCTTCTTTGTATTCTTTCTTTCCATCTTTCATTCTTTCTTTCTTTTTTTTTGTTCCTTTCTTTCTATTCTTCTTTCTTTCTTTCATTGTTTCTTTCTTCTTTCTCTTTCTTTCTTTCTTTTTCTTTGTTCCTTTCTTTCTATTCTTCTTTTTTTCTTTCATTGTTTCTTTCTTCTATTTCTTTCTTTCTTTTTCTTTGTTCCTTTCTTTCTTTCTTTCTCTCTTTCTTCTTCCTTTCTTTTTTCTATCTTTCTTTCTATTCTTTTTTTTCTCTCTTTTTCTTTTCTTGCCTAGGGGAGGAACAGAATGGAATGTTGGGCGAGATATAAGGGAGGATAAGGGGAATAAGGTCAGATAGAAAGGAAGATAGATAGGAAGGATAAGGGTTAATGACAAATTTTATTTTTTAAGGAATACTAGGAATATATTATATAGTTCTAATTTCAGAAATGACTTGTTGGATAGAATGCTTGATAATGTGCTATTTTAGATTCGGCATTACATGATCAGCTGTTGTAACTATTTAGAATATGAAAGAAAGAAATATAGTCATGATCATAGAGACTTAACCTTCTTGGCAGAATGAGAGAGAAAGTTATTCAACATCTGCAGTTTATTGATATTAAGACTTCATAAACTTTTACTCAGACTGCATGAACTGATTCAGCAATTGTGTTTTTGTTTCAGGTTTGATGAGTTTGGCTTTCGTGTAGAGGAGGAGGATGGCCCTGAACAGAGTAGTAAGAAGCTACTGAGTCAGCCATTTGTTGAGGATCCGCAGCACAGGTATTTTTTTTTATTTTTTATATGTATGTGTATCTTGCACATGTGAAAATAAACTGGAGTGTATTATTATTATTGTTATTGTTATTGTTGTTGATATTTGTATGATTGTTGTTGCTAATATCATTCATAATTTTCTTCACAACTGTTTCAGTGTATTCTTAAGATTTACTTTGTATCTCCACCCATCATTATTTCAGATTGCAGTGGATAGCATACCTGGAATTTAGCCACAGCGATGAGGTCGGGGAGTTGACCTGGGACCACGTGGATGTGCGGCTCCCAAGGACGGATAAGTTGAGGGGAATGGTCAAGAATGGGGTCCCTCACTCCCTACGGCCGCAGTTGTGGCTGAGGCTCTCGGGTGAGTCATTTTACCTTTTTTTTTCTTTTTGAGGAGGAGATGGTTTACTTGGAGCATGTATGGGTTGTTCTGGTATGATTTGTCTTGTGAATTGTTCATGTATTACATATTATTGATACTTATATTATTGTGTTTGTATTATCATAGGTGCCCTTCAGAAGCAGCAGCAGTCAGACATATCTTATCGAGATGTGGTGAAAGCATCGAGCAATGATGCCCTCATGACTAGTAAACAAATAGAAAAGGACCTCTTGCGCACTATGCCCACCAATGCATGCTTTTCGCAACTCACTTCTACGGGCATTCCACGACTGCGACGGGTTTTGAGGGCCCTTGCCTGGCTCTACCCTGATATTGGGTAAGTTTGGGGATTTAGGGGTATATATTCATTTTCTTTTGGTTGATAACAAGATAAATTACTTAAACATGCACTCAAATATGTTTGAATGTGCTCTCACACACACACACACACACCTGTGGGCATATACACATGAGCGCTCACACATAGATAACCACACGTTCACTTGTGTGCATACATATTGGCTTGTACATACACAAAGACATATAGACACATAGACACATACACACACATGCACATATACACACATACACACATACACATATACACATATACACACATACACACATACACACATACACACATACACACATACATACATACATACATACATACATACACACCCTCTCTAACCAAATTTGCTTATCCTCAGGAATAATGATAACAGTTTTCTTTTCTCCTTCTTGATTTCTTGATTTATCTTATGACTTACTATTGTCACCAAGGATCTCCATAGTCATAATGCTGTTGTTGGGTGTAGATGGGAATGAGGGAAAACAGTACCACATTCTTCATGTATTGTCATGTAATGATAAGAGTAGCATGTATGCCTAGGTTGCCTTTTAAATCAATTCTGTGAAATGGAAGAGTTAGCAAGTTACAGATTTGATACATTGTACTGCATACATATCAAACAAATTTCCTATCTTTTATAATCTATTTCTTCTATGTCTAGACTAAAGGCACTTTGACTTATTTAATATTGGTGAATTTTGCACTTCTTTAGCAGGCACTGAATAGTTCTCATTACTCTAGAGTTTGCAAATTGATGCTAAGAAGGATACTCACTAATGATATGAATAACAACTTTAATTTACTTTAACATGGTGTATTTGTTACTGGTGTGCATTGCTGGTGTTATTGGCTTTTAAGACTATTAACCTCTATATAAACAGACACTAATCTTAACTCCTGTACCCACTTCTCATATATGTGCATGGGCATATCAGTAAAAGCTGAAACTGCCAAGAATTAGTCCTGTCACATCTGGCTTTTGCATGTTGAATACTAACTGGGTGTGCATGTCAGGTATTGCCAAGGTACGGGGATGATTGCTGCATCTCTACTGCTTTTCTTAGAAGAGGAGGAAGCTTTCTGGGTCATGTGTACTATAGTGGAGGATCTGCTGCCTGCTTCCTACTACTCCTCCACTCTGCTGGGTAAGAATAACTCAAGGACGTATTCTGATATAGTTTTAGAGGAAATCCTTTGCAGTGGCCTTTTTTTTCAGTTGCTATTTAGATTTCAGGAGAAGGTTTGGATGTATTGTAAGTAAAGGATTATGATCATGTGTAACAGCCTTTCAGGAAGTTATTAAAAGAATTGATTATTGACTGGAAGTGCCCGAGACAAAATTTTTATCTTGAAGTAGATTAGATTCCAAGTATGTTCACACTCAAAATATCCATTATTTTTCTTATTCATGCTTTCGTTTTCTATCTGTTCTGTACTGTATGTTTTCTTATAACACAAATTTTAACCCATTGCTGCCAGGGAAAATGAATAAAAAATGGGGAAAATGCCATGCTCATTTTTTATATTTTTGTGAAATATCTCTGTACATAGATGGCTCTGCAAGTGCTTAGTCATAAAGGAGTCAATTAGTAGATCTTGAGACCTTACCTGATTTCACCTTTCCTTGAATTGGCGGGAAAAACATATTTTTTACTATTGCTATAAATATCAGTGGTGTTATTTTTATTATAAACATTATAATTACTATAATGTTATAAAAATTAGTAACAGCAAAATAAGATAACATAAAATATTTTTGTAAATCAATGAAAAGGGTGAATGGGCGAGACAGGCAGTACTCATATCTGGCTCACTGGTGCCTTAGTATAAGTGTAGCCATCTATGTGTAAAAAAATTAAACAAATAAACTCACAGTGGGCATGGCATGTATGTACGTGCTATGCCCATCGGCAGTGGGTTAATGAGATAGCAGAGTGCCTTATTGTAAGATGTACAACAAAATTGTTTTCATATGAAATATCATTTATATTTGATTATCTACAGTACCTGAAAAACATTACCTATACTGTAACAGTTACTAATTGTTTGGTCTTATTCTTGTAGGTGTACAAGCAGATCAGCGTGTGTTGGCTGCCCTGGTGTCTACCTATCTGCCTGGAGTGGAGTCTGTAGTACGAGAACATGACATTGAACTCTCTCTCATCACCTTGCATTGGTATGTGACCCTTTTTGCCTCAGTGCTTCATATGAAGATCCTCCTGAGGGTGTGGGACCTGTTCTTCCTGGATGGATCCATTGTCCTTTTCCAGGTCACTCTGGCCATGCTGAAGATTAAGGGTAAGTTAATGGTGTATATTGTTCCATTTTGGTCTCATATGGCTTGGCCTTTGCTATATGAATTTCGGCCATATTTTGTGAATGTAAAACCGTTACTGTTTCATTTCAGAGGCAGAGCTCCGTAGCCTTGAGAATTCAGCACAGATATTCAATGCACTCTCAGATATTCCAGGGGATATTGATGATGTTGATTGCTTGTTTAAGGTGAGAAAAAGGTATTTTTTTGTGAAAAACCATACTTGTATTGATTTATAAACATGATTTTTTTGTTTTGTTTTGTTTGCTTGTACTTGATGCATTCCAATGTTTTAGGTAATGGATAATGTATGTGGGAGCTTAACAGATGTAATGGTTGAGACCCACCGTCGACGCCACCTTGCATATCTCATGGCTGATCATGGTGCACTTATCAACCCAGATCACTCTACAAACCTCCCCAAGCAGCAGCTGAACAGGTGAGGAGTTGTAGAATTGTCAGCATCATGTACGTTACATTCGTTTCATATTTGACTTCCTTCTATGATAATTGTCAGTATCGTTTTACTGTATATCAGTTTCACATTTTGTTTCCTTTTGGATTTTTTTATATATATTTTTTTATCCAGTTTGTGTATTCTAAGAAGACCAAAGGACACCTTTTCTGTATTCCTGAGATTTTATAAATAGCTCAGGAAGGAGTGACAGGAATGCGTGATAAATTATCAGTATAAGGTTTTCTTATATGCTAAAATTTCAAGAAATGGTTGATCCCTGTATGGCAACAACATGTATAAGTGATAAAAGTATCATATATCACAGGAAGCTTCCTTCGCAGTGTTTCTATTCAGTAAATATCAAATATGTTAGCAGAAGGTATTGAGTGAATAATAATAATTTCTATATTCATTACTATTTTTACAGTGATCATTTGTGAGTTTAAAAGATTTTGGAGGCAGGGAATGACAACCGTTATCTTATCAGTGGCTTGACAAAATGTGGGTATGAAAGTGGTTTAAATGGTAGTAACAAATAGATGGTCAGTAAGACTATTTGATGATGATCATCATCACAAATGTTTTTTTGGGCACATGCACTGGCCAGAGTTCCTCACAGTGATGACAGGTTGGTATATATGTGTTAAAAGTACATTTGTTTTGTTTTATGTGATAAGAGTGTTCTAACTGCATATGGGTAATTTTGTGATGAGTCAGATCATATGAAATTGCTTCATGTAGCATACTGCTTTAGCTGGATGTCTAAATCTTATCTAAAGATCATTGGGATTAGGAGTCTTTGATCTGTCATTCATGATAACTAGTGGTAGGGTGACGGTATATGATACTGATTTCTTGTAATAATTCTTTTTGTTAATTTGATTTAGTCTCATTTGTTTGATGTCTCAACATTAAGAATGAAGTCACTATCTCTACAATACTGAAAACAGTGTTCATCGTGACAAATCTAGAAAAAGCGCTAATCAGAATAAACATCTTCATAGTACAAGAGATGCATTTGATATGCTTCTGCTACATCGTCATCAGAAATGTATGTGTTTCTGATGGAGATGTAATCAAAATGCATCAGAGATATCCCTTGGGGCTGTTAAGATGGTCATTCTCATTCATACCTTTTCCTATGTAGCTTCATAAATCAAGAAATTGTTAAATCAAATTTTTTGCTTCAGTTTTCTTTTTTTCTTCTTGTTTCATATGTATTTTTTTCTGTATCTGTTTTCCTATATAAATTTTTTATTTGCTATTTCATTTTTTTTAGATATCTGCTTTCTTATCTACATTTGCACACTCAATTTTTAATACTGTATTTTTATATCTGATTTATATTTCAAAAAATATTTGCAGGCGACAAGTTAGCAAGAGTAAATCTATGCTGGAGTTGATATTATTTGGTGAAGACTGTAGCAATGATGACCTTCGTAACAAAAATATCCGCCAGACTGAGTTGCTTGTAGATCTGCGCGAGGCAATTCTACAAGTAGGCAGGCATTTTCAGGTGAGTAGACTTTGTTTGTTGTGTTGTACATATTTGTCTATTCTCTATTTGTTTTATTTTATTCAAACTTGCCTCACTAATTCTTTTAGCTTTCTTTACCTTAGTTTGCTGTTTTCTGTAGACTTTGAGGCAACATTGTTTTTTGGTAACTGAAGTGAATAGTTTGCTATATCACTTAGTTAAAATATAAAAGGGCATTATAGAAGATTTAGACTTTAACCCAATGCTAATGGGTGATTTCCCAATATGCAAGCCCTCTCTCCTTCGTTGTGGCTGGGCCCCCCTGCCGGGGGCTTGTGTCGTCACCCTAGCATGCTTGGCATTACCATACATACCCCCAGAAAATGGAATTGGCACACCATGGCATGTATGTACATTCCACCCTGTGGCTGAGGGTTAAGACTATACTACATAAATAATGTGCTAACTAATCTGTACTAGATTTGGATTTACTCATGAATTTCTTTATTTCAGAGTGTTGAGCCAGCCTTCAGTTCAGTGTCCCTCACTCCAGACTATTCCTTGGAGTCTCATGCACATGACTTACCTGAGTTTTTAGCAACAGCAAGATCCAGACACAGAAGAGCAAAGGCATTACTTGGTAGGTTCATTTCAATTAAAGCTAGGATAATAGAATGAAAGAGAGGCTCAGGAATTGTTATATTATAAGATAATTTGCTAATTGAATCCTTGCAGTGCCAGTGCCTGAATGAATTTTTCATATGAAAAAATATATATCACCCTTATATCAGAGATAAGTCTTCATATCATGTATCAGCATTGTAATTATTATTATTATGGTGAACAATATAAAGAGCAACACTGAACAATTACACCACAGAAGCACAGCTTAGAAGGAAAAAGAAGATAAAAAGGTCAACAGCTATTAACTTAATAAAAACAGATAGTTTAAAAGATGCGAGTTGCTTGTGTCCGGGGCACTCAGGAAAGGAAAGATTTGAGGAAGTCTCAAGTTCATTTTATGGTAACTAAGGTAAATCCCTTCTCTCTCTCCCATCCCTGGTGGAGGGGTAAAGGGTTAAGTAAAGAATAGGGGGATATGGAGGACAAGGGTAGGATTATAGAGGGGGAAACTGACGTAGACTCTGCCAGTGATAGTTTCTCATTTTGGGTAGAGGGTGGGGCACAGTCTAGCTGAGTTATGTGATTGGTGGGAAGAGGGAATGTGATTGGTGGGAAGAGGGAATGTGATTGGTGGGAAGAGGGATGGTGGGTAGAGCTATACAATTTCTAGGGCAGTCTAAAAATTACAGCTAGAACAGAATACGGGGATCAGGCAGCAACAACTGCAATTAAATGGAATTATGATGCCAATGTTGGTGTCATAGTATATTCCATTTCATGACACCGAAACCAGTGTCACCTTATAAAACAGGTAAATTTTTTTATCACTCACTGTGGCTTTTTTCTCAACAGATTTTGAACGCCATGATGATGACGAGTTGGGTTTCCGTAAGAATGACATCATTACTATTATATCCCAGCGTGATGAGCACTGCTGGATAGGAGAACTGAATGGATTGAGAGGTGAATTTGGGAAATAAAACCCTGGAGTAATGTTTAGTTTTTTTTTTTGTTTATATTATTCTTATGAAGAATCCACTTTAGTGTTATTAGAGTTATTTGCCGGTTATTTTCAGATTATACATATATGATTATATAGGTCACTGTTTCAAACTGGGGAGATACATTTTAAACATTGTGGACCTCAGTTGTCCTAAACTTAATATCATATTTTTAAAATTGAGTATGTGCATTGTTATAAATTTTTGTAAAGTTTTGCTATTTCTAAAGAATGGTTGAGATTCTCAGTTTAATGGATTTTATTAATTTTTCAATAGGCTGGTTTCCTGCAAAGTTTGTAGAAGTGTTGGATGAGCGTAGCAAGGAATACAGCAGAGCAGGTGATGATGCTATTAATGCTATTGTAACTGATCTTGTGCGTGGGACTCTGTGCCCAGCCATCAAGGCAATATTGCAACATGGAATGCAGCGCACGTCTCTCTTAGGTGAGTCTTTGAAACAGTAGTAAGCAGACGTGATTGTACTAAAGAAAATATTGATTTTGCATTTACTTTGGCTTGTGAGAATGTGAACATAAATGATTTCATGATATATAGTATACATTAAATATTTATTTCATTATGTACCTCAGGAGGCCCTTGTCATCCCTGGCTGTTTATTGAAGAAGCTGCGGCAAGGGAAGTAGAGAGAGATTTCTCATCGGTATATTCGCGCTTAGTGCTGTGCAGGACATTCAGGCTCGATGAAGATGGCAAAGTCCTCACTCCAGAAGAGGTGAAGCAGTTACTGTATTTATAGGATGACAGGATAATGGTTTACTTATTTTTATCTCATGCTTTCTCTATCTCATGCTTTCTCTCTCTCTCTCTCTCTCTCTCTCTCTCTCTCTCTCTCTCTCTCTCTCTCTCTCTCTCTCTCTCTCTCTCTCTCTCTCTCTCTGTCTCTCTCTCTCTCTCTCTGTCTCTCTCTCTGTCTCTCTCTCTGTCTCTCTGTCTCTCTCTCTCTCTCTCTCTGTCTCTCTCTCTCTGTCTCTCTCTCTGTCTCTCTGTCTCTCTCTCTGTCTCTCTCTGTCTCTCTCTGTCTCTCTCTCTGTCTCTCTCTGTCTCTCTCTGTGTCTCTCTCTCTGTCTCTCTCTCTGTCTGTCTGTCTGTCTGTCTCTCTCTCTCTCTCTCTCTCTCTCTCTCTCTCTCTCTCTCTCTCTCTCTCTCTCTCTCTCTCTCTCTCTCTCTCTCTCTCTCTCTCTCTCTCTCTGTGTCTCTCTCTCTCTCTGTGTCTCTCTCTCTCTGTGTCTCTCTCTCTGTGTGTCTCTCTCTCTCTCTGTGTCTCTCTCTCTGTGTCTCTCTCTCTCTGTGTCTCTCTCTGTCTCTCTCTGTCTCTCTCTGTCTCTCTCTGTCTCTCTCTGTCTCTGTCTCTGTCTCTGTCTGTCTCTGTCTGTCTCTGTCTCTGTCTCTGTCTCTCTCTGCCTCTGTCTCTCTCTGTCTCTGTCTCTCTCTGTCTCTGTCTATCTCTTTGTTTCTGTTTATCTCTCTGTCTCTGTCTTTGTCACTCTGTCTCTCTGTCTCTCTCTGTCTCTGTCTCTCTCTGTCTCTGTCTCTCTCTGCCTCTGTCTCTCTCTGACTCTGTCTCTCTCTGTCTCTGTCTATCTCTTTGTCTCTGTTTATCTCTCTGTCTCTGTCTTTGTCACTCTGTCTGTCTCTGTCTCTCTGTCTCTCTCTGTCTCTGTCTCTCTCTGTCTCTGTCTCTCTCTGTCTCTGTCTCTCTCTGTCTCTGTCTCTGTCTCTGCCTCTGTCTCTGTCTGTGTCTGTGTCTGTGTCTGTCTGTCTGTCTGTCTGTCTGTCTGTCTGTGTCTGTCTGTGTCTGTCTGTGTCTGTCTGTCTGTCTGTCTGTCTGTCTGTCTGTCTGTCTGACTGTCTGTCTGTCTGTCTCTCTGTCTCTGTCTCTGTCTCTGTCTCTGTCTCTGTCTCTGTCTCTGTCTCTGTCTCTGTCTCTGTCTCTGTCTCTGTCTCTGTCTCTGTCTCTCTCTCTCTCTCTCTCTCTCTCTCTCTCTCTCTCTCTCTCTCTCTCTCTCTCTCTCTCTCTCACTTTCTCTTTCTCTTTGTTTCTGTCTCTTTGTCTCTCTCTCTCTCTCTCTTTCTCTTTCTCTTTGTTTCTCTCTCTTTGTTTCTCTTTGCACACACCCACACACGCCTGCGCGCACGTGTGTGTGTATATGAATACACACTTATATATAGACATATATTGATAGATTAGATAGATACATAGGTAGTTAAATAGATATATTGATACAGATATAGATATAGATATAGTTAGAGACTAGATATATATTTATGTATATATCTCTATATAATCTCTACCTAATTTAGCCACATGGATTTGAGGAAGAAGAAATATTGTTTTTGAATTGTAGGGAATACACTTAAATATTGAACTCTCACGTTAATTGTGTGTAGTTAATACAGTGGTTTGAAATTGCAGTTGCTGTATCGATGTGTGCAAGCCATTAATGTAAGCCACGATGCAGTCCATGCACAAATGGATGTTAAACTTCGGTCCCTGGTCTGCTTAGGACTAAATGAGCAGGTAAATCAAAAAGTTGTTTTTCATATATATTTCTAAAATTAAAAAATATATTACAGTTTTATTTGTTAATAATTTCTGTTCATTATATGAAATTGAATAGCATGATTACTATATTATTGTTATTAATATATTCCTTTCCGCAGGTGTTGCATCTCTGGCTGGAGGTCCTGTGTTCGAGCGCCGATGTCGTAGAGCGATGGTATCAGCCCTGGTCTTTCCTGAAGTCCCCCGGCTGGGTGCAGATCAAGTGCGAACTGCGAGTGCTGGCACAGTTCCCTTTCACGCTGAACCCAGACTGGGAACTGCCCCCTCCCCCCAACCAGGATCAGAGGCCGCTGCGAGAGGGCGTGCGGGACATGCTCGTCAAACACCATCTCTTCTCTTGGGACCTGTAGCATTGGTAGTCCTTTTTTTAGAACTGACTTTAAAAGTCGATTTGGAGTTTGGAAGTATTTTTATAGTCTGATTACATTTTAGAGAAATGAAATGCCATTCTGTGAAATGAAATGTCATACTTACAAATTACATACCACATTTTTTTTTTTTTTTTATGATTCTCATAAAACATGATTGTCGCATTGAACATCTACTTGCTTGTAAAAAAAAAATAATAATAATAGATCTGAAAAAGTGGAGGCAAATTTTCTTTATATTCTTTGCAGTGTTTGATTCAACTCCCTTTTCCTTTAGACAGTGTTAAGGAAACTACTCCAGGTACTTTTCATTTATCATCCTTGTTAGTAGAAGATTAATATTGTTATTATATTTTTTTCTATACAGCAGCACAGTATTATATGGTAGAACACTCATAACATATTATCTCTAAGACTCCTTGTACAGTTTTAATCTTAAGAGTACACATCATCAAGCATTCTTAGTGTACATCAGTCATTCATGTGCCATGTCATATGCTGCAGAAATAGAGTCATTTACTCTTTACTGATATAAATGTTATCTCTTTCTTGACATTTATTGAAAGCTTTAGTTTCATTCATTAGCTACTCACATAATGCAGGGGAATTAAAGTGCATCTGGGTGAGAGTATTTCTGAACACTTGCCACACTTATGGGCAAACTTAGAGGTAAATGAGCTCATGCATCAATCAGGAATCTTCATAATTCTAACTATTTTTGAACTGATTATTTTGCAAGAAGGAACATATTTTTAATAGTTTCATTCATTAGGACATTTTTAGAAATGGAAATGATTTTTATTTGATAATTTGTAAAATATTATAGATCCTGAGAGTTATCATGTGGATTATGATGCCAGAATTCATTGGTTCAATTTATCAATTATTGAATTTATATTTATGATGAACACACACACACACACACTAAATAATCTGTTCTTGTGCTATTTGCACTACCCATGGATAATGAGATTCCTATTTTATAAATGAGTTAAAATTTATGTCTACACTGGCTGTTCTGGTTAACCCTTTTTGAATTTTTATATTTTTTATGATTACTTTTCAATAGAGTAATGTTTATTCACTGAGTATTTGTATGTTTTATTCCATGTTAAAAGTGACTGTTGATGTATGTTCAACCTTTAGTTTATTAACTTGCACAGTTCTTCAGCTCTATATAACTGAAATATTAAAATGAAGTGCATGGGGCAGTAGTTATAGTACTTTCATTTGTTTTGTGTTATTTTATTTTATTTTTTTTACTTCACAAGTGCCTTTATCTGCTTCTTGGTCCAGAAAGTTAATGAGCAGATTGATTATGAATGGAACCGGAGGTTTTTATGTATCATGAAATTTGATATTAATATTTTTATTTTCAAAAATTGTAGTCTAAGTTTGTTGAGGTCTGTGCTCTTACTAGGTAATTTGGAGAGAATTCAGTTGCTGAAAAGAGCGGCTCTCTGAGCCGTAATTGATGAATATTTTTGCAAAGTTTAGATGGCTTTACTGCGAAGAAAGTGAGTGAGTTTGCACCTTCATGGGACTGCTATGTTTAAATGTCTCTTTGCTCTTCCAGAAGTCTCAGGATTTTAACTGGAGTAGCTACATATTCAGACTCATTATGATTAGAAAGGAGATAATTTATTTTGGTTATGTTAGCCTTATTACTAATGCTTCTCATTCTTTTATTCTCATTATGTGCCTAGATTTGGCTTGCTTGTACTCATTTAATGTCAGTGTGTGTACAGTGTCCATCCATTGACATCGTACACACATGCCATTTCCACTGTTATTTAGTTTGTAAATTTTATTTATATTTTGATGTCTCCATAAGTGCTTAGTCACCAAGTAGTCTTACAAGAGCTCTCACCTTGTTGGTGATTATCTGAGATTTAAGAAAAATATCTTTATTGCTGTAGGTATTGGTCCTACTGTTAGTGATGATTATGATAGCGGTGACAATATTGATAGTAAAAGAAGAATTCCTAAAAATTAAAAGAATCAGGCA